TTGATAGCTGTGAGACTTGAAGCTGAGGGTCAAACTGAACCAGGGCTCCTAATTTATGAAGGAATTCTCTAACCTTCTGAATACTATGTAAAACAATTACTGCTGCCTCTGTGGTTTTGACTGGGAGTTGCTGGGGCTGCTGTGTTTTAGGCTGAACATTGTGCTCTTAGTTTGCGAGAGATGTGGCCTTAATGCACCTGCCAGGCTTTGGAGCCTCAGCAACACCATGTAGTTTCAGGGCACAGGAAATCTGGTATAGTCACTATAGTCACACCTTAGGGCAATGGGTTCATAAATTCTCAGCAGACTTGGCTGGGGATCCAGCTGAAGTGCCTTGTCCCTCCTGGCATAGATGCATGTGGGTATTTGATTATAAATCCTTGCTCTTAACTTGGACTCCCTGTCCTGTCATGCCTTTGGCTGGACAACCTTTCCTGATTCCTAATACAAGTAGTCTGCTTATTTTACAATTCCCAGATGAGCTTGACAGGCAATATTTTGCTGATACCTGTCAAGATGGTAGGAACTTTGGTATGTCCATCAAACCAGCTTTAGTCAGCTGGACATCTGGGTGGAAGTGCAGTGCCTGTGCACTTCCAGAAAGTGCTGTGGATTTCAGTTTAGGACTTGGGCACTTAAAATTCACCAAAGCATCACAAGGACTCTAAAAGTATTAGTGAACACAATTAATAATGGAGTTGGAATAAGAAATCCTTTAGGATGCCCTATTTTCCTGACTCATAAGGCTCTATCCTGACTGGATGATACACATCTGTGTGACATACCATAGATTGGCCTGGGCTTAGTGAAACAGAAGCTTGAATAGGGTCTGAGGACAAGTTGTTCATATGGATAACTTATTTTTCTGCTAGCTAAGCATTACACCACAGAGAATCTGGGTCCCACTGGCATAGCAGTGGGACAGGTAGAAACTTAGCATTGGCAGCTTATCTGTGACTTTCCTTCTTGAGGCCAGTGGAGACTTCATCTGTGTCATACATATGATGCAGTGAATCTTTTCAAGAGAAGAACATGACTCATATGCCTCATTTGTCCACTTTGCAGGACAACTCAGATTCAGCTAGAGGAAGCGGCTTTTCATTTTTTTTTTTTTTATAATCTTTGTGATAAAGAAATGACATGGCAGGTATATAGAAATACAACCTTACGATCTAACATGTACCTCTTCTTAGGTATTTATAAATGTACCTCTCCTTAGGTGTCACACACATGTATGTATAATAAATAAAAAGATCTTAACCAGGGAATAGATCCCTGGTAGTCCAAGTAGTTTTCCTATTAATAAAATTCTCATTATTTGCTCCCCAGCTTTGGAAACACAGCTACTGAAGTCCTGGTTATGAATTTCAAAGGGTCATTGCTCTTATGCCTCAGGGATTTCTCAAGCGAATAGTAGGAAGAGATCATACAGAGAACTTGGTTGCATGAAGTTGCTGAAAGGAAAGTGCATGGCAATTGATGTATGCCATAACTGTCCATGTTCCAGCTTTTTGTTATTTTAGAATATGAGGTACCTTATACGGATGTTGCAGTAAAAAGAAAAGCATTAATTTGGAAATTCTGTTCCATGTTCACATCATTTTAGTGGAGCTGCTAAAAGTTACTTGCTCCTAATAATTTTGGAAATATTTGAATACTCCAAAATACTCTCCTGTTCCTTATCTTCTCATATAGTTCCTATTCTGTATCTTCACAAGAGGCTGCTTCCTGGTTCTTGCTAGAAATACCTGTACTTTGAGGTGTTACCTAATGCCTGTCATATTAGCTAGGGGATCAAACCTGATCTTGAACTGCTGTGTCTTGCTTCAGTGATATTTTGTAAATTCAATCCTGTTCAGTGACCTGGTCTGAATATCCTGAAGACCATGAGCCTTTTACACAGGGTGCATCCATATTCTGCCTGCCTACTTAAGAGACAATCATACACTGAAATCAGTGGAGACATTTTGGTTTACTTAAAAAAAAAAAAAAAATCTTCTAGTTGTCTATTTCACTGGAAATACTGAGGTTTTTATATGCATGTTGTTGTTCTTTACACTTTTTTTTTTTCTAATGGATTTTTTTCCTAATGGTTGACTCATTTATCCTGGCATAAAAACTACATACAACTCAATCTGGTGGTTTCTTTTGTTTGTTTGTTTGTTTGTTTGTTTTTTTGTTTCCTCCTGTAGATGTCTCAGACTTATCTTTAAAATATTAAACAAATGAGAAAAACTAAAGGTCTTGTGATAGATTTCTTACAGATGCTTCTGGTTCTGTCTACATGGCTAGTTGAACAAATATGATTTTAACCTTTGGATGAAAGATTAGGTAACAAAGGACTTAACTTTACATGAATAAGTAAATTCAGGTCTCAGAGTAGAGAGAGAGGACTTAAGCATGCTGCTTGATCCATTTGTATATTAAAGGCTATAGTAAATTTTGAGGACTGAGAAAATTCAACAGTTGCTGAGAGGTTGAAGACGTCTATTAAAGATAGCAATAGTTGCTGTCCCTGGTAAAAGATGAGATTGACATTTTAGCTGAATTTGGAGAAGGGCAGATGCTGAGGTCAGAAAGGTACATTTGAAGAAAACAACAATATGTTAGTGTCTAAAGTTGCATCCAGCCCTTGACAGATTTACTTTTGGACATGTCCCTTTATGGCTGTGTGTGAGATGCTGCTGAGCAAACTGATGAATCAGTGTCTAATGACGCATAGCTGCGGGATCTCAGTGCCTATATGTGTGTCTTAAATGGGAAGTAGCACTAAACTCTGGTACTGAGTTGGAAGTTGGGATATTGTTGGTCACTCAGGTCACTGGTTTGGACTGGTATGATGGTGCCTAATATCTTGTAGCAATGCTGGATCCACATGGCAGTGTGAATACAAAGCAGATTCTCTCCTAGCTATGATCTGGCCTTAGCTTCCTGCACCATCACCAGAGGGGACCGGGAGAATGCAAATAAGGGCAGAATCTGCCTTTTGGAATATTTATTACTCTGGGGCTGAACGACCCAGAAACTGCATAGTTTGATTTTCTCTGCAGTACTGTCAGGAAAGCAAACAGATTCTTTGACTTGAATTCTGTATGTCAGCACAACTGGCTGTGGAGCTGATTATTTTCTGTTTTCTGGCTCTGAAGTTACTTTTCCTTAGATTTCTGTTTGCAGAATCAGTTGAAGACTAAGCCTGCTTAAATATAGAAGTATTTTCTAGATGTGGATTGTTTCTCAACTGAATATATAGTTACATGTATAAAATATGAATATATATAAAGGCTATTTTTGTAGCCTCCTGGAATAATTTAACTGTTACTGTATCAGTTTTATGGATGCTGATATCAATGAGAAACTCTACTTGGGACATTAGGAAAATGGAAAGTATCAGATGGTGAGCATGAAGGCTACAGCTTACTGCCACAGGATTTAGTGTGTGAGAAAAACTTGGCAAGCCAGACTGGTTCCCAGTTACATTATGTGATTATGCCATGTACACTGTCCCATAGCTGCCACTAGCTTGTGGCATAGCAGCATGCTGTACAATGCTATGAACTCCAGCTCTTTGGTGATCCTTCATCTGCTGGAAGCTGTTGCCTCTTGTATTTGCCTGTGAGTTCTGTGCAGCAGTGAAAACCCAGAAACAATTTATTTGCCTTCTGCAGCAATCTGGGGGCTATAGATAGCAAAACCTTTAAAAAATGCTGTTGAAAGATTTTTGAATCATTAGGTGATCTGGGAAACACTTTGTGAGCAGAGGAAGACAGGAAAGGAGAGAAGGTGGAGACCTCATGTTTTAGATGTCAAAATTCTTCTAAGTTAAAATAAGAAAATAATAAAACCTAGAAAAACAACAATTAAGTGGAAGTGCACTAATTGGTACATGTTAGCCCATGTAATTTTGGCATTCTAGTGTATTGAAAACTTCTTTTTTGCTGCACATCAGTTTTGTGGATAAGGTCAGTGCTTCTTTGGTTTTGTGGGTTTTCTTCCCCCCTCTTGAATTTTGAAAGTGGGCGTGAAGAGACACTGGAGATTAGCAGGCCTTTATCCTTTAAGTATGCCATATATTTTTACTTAAGGGAGCAATATTCTGAAAGTAGACTTGGATGTCTGTGGCAATAGCTTCAAATAGGTATTGGAGTTTTTTGCGTGTATGCCTTTAGGCAGCATTGAGGCCAGGAAGGATATGTGATCTTAGCTGTGGTATTCAATTGTAGCTTTGTGTCCCCCAAAATCATCTTGCCCTGAATATTTCAAATGCTTCTGATTTGTTTATATCATCCAGAATATTGCTAGTGGCAGGTATTGTGGTGGTGTACTGCTCAGAACATCAGACTCTTTTAATACAAAGAAAATTGGATAAAGCCGCAAGCAGTTAGTATGAGTCAATGAATCTCTTCTGTAAAAAAAATACAAACACGTGGGTGAAGGAGGTTTCTTAAAATTGTCAGGATATTGCGTTTGACCATTTGATGGAACAACCTGGAGCCCTTTGTAAGGGAACTGTCAGAAACCAGCGTGTTCTCCCTCTCCAGCCAAAAATCAATCCTTGTGTTTTGCAGTTTGTTCTCCTACCCCCAAATTCCCCTTCTTTTCCCCCATTTCCTTACCTTGTTCTTCCTGTACTATTTGCCTGCATTTCTACATTTTCTCCTGCCATTTTTCACCTGTGTTAACTGACTTAGAATGAGTTAACTCTGTATTTCTTTATTTCTTCTTCACAGTATCTTTTTCTAAACTCAGAGTCCAAACTAAGAAGCTTTTATTTTTACATCAGAAATATCAGGGGTTGGAAAGAACCACAGTTCAGAATCTGTTCTGTCACCAGACTTGTGTCGCTCTGTAGCAGCAAAGCTTCACCATTAGAAAATATGGTGGGTCTACCACAGAGAGAAAAATAATCTAGTCATGTTCTCTTGTGGAGTGCTGAAGTTACAATAGTGAATGGCCAGTAAATTTTAAAGCTACACAAGGAGAATGGAAAAAAATAATCCTACCTTTCAGATTGTACTCCATTGACTGCTTGAAAGGTTTGATTTAAAGGTCTTGATCCTGCAATGGTAAAACAACACTTTGCAAGTGGTTTCTTCATGTGCCCACACAAGTAAGGATACTCTGAGTTGTAGGCTGTCTACTACAAACAGTGTGGAAATATAACAACCTCTTCAGGCCATTGTGAATTTTTAATTTAGACAATGATCAAACAAATCACTTGAGTAGTATGCTCATCCCCTTGAGCTGGGCTGGAATGCTAACCTGCTTAAAGTGAGCATGAGCTTGCCTGCTACAGTGGATTAGGACTCATGTGAAGTGTTTGTACTTTAAACAACAACAATAAAATTAGAGAACTTTCAAATATGTAGTACTATGTGATTTCTTTTTTCTTTGGGAGCAGGATATTTATAGTATCAGCTAAAACTTTACTGTATGCTTGTCAGAACTTTCTCCTTCAGATTTTCACAAATTTTGGAACTTAAGAAATGCCTCTAGCTGGTAAAGCTATTGTTCTTTCAGATATGTGTGGTTTAGGCTAAATGGAAAATTCAGCAAAATGCTTTCTAAGAATTTACAGAGACACAGATAAATTAATGAGATAATGATAGAATAAGAATGAAACAATGCAGATGCTTTTTCTCCTTAAAAATATGAATATTTTCTGTATTTCTTCTAGTGAGTGAAATGTGGGTGTATGTGCATGTGGATCTCTGTGTACATGCAAACTTGTAATGAATATTAATCACCAAGTCAAGGTCATTTCTGTGAAATGGGCATTGTATTTTGCTGTGAATTTTAGAATTTGGGCCATGTGCTTTCTTTCATTCTTGGCATCTCTCTGCTTAAGTGGCAGTAACTTGAAAAATCTCAGTGCAGCTTACAAAACACAAATCCAGACAGAGCTGTGCTTGCACCATTCTTGAAACCTACAACTCTTTTCTTGTAAGAGAGTGAGGTTTTTACTGGCCTTAAGATCCCTTTCAGCAGAACTCTCCTAGGATCTAAGCTAAGGCAGTTCATTCCTGAATTCCGCATCCATAGGTAATGGGACTGGGGAGGGACAGTACAAGGCAATTTCATGGTCATTGCTGTTGCTGCTGTTTTTGCTACAGTCTTTGCATGCATATTACTTGCGATAATACTTCTCAGAGTTTATCGGTAAACTCTGAAAAGTTCTCATAAAATTTCAGGTTTGCAATTACTCTTGGCTGCGTAAGTAGTTTTATGCTTGCTGTTAGCCTACAAAGTCAAGAAGACAACAGTGCATAGTGTCTGACCCATAGGTGATCGTTAGAAGGTTTTTTTATTAAAAGCTTGAAATATAACTGAAAACTAAATGCAAATTGAATTGTCTGATGTATCTGATGTGACTCTTGCTAAGGAGAACCTGGGAACCCTCAATTCATTGCGTTGCTCTGTTGCGCTACAGCAAGTCACTTGTCTTGTATGCTACTGTTTCATATCCTTCTCAGAGCTTAAAATTTGTGCAGCACTTTGTAGATTTATAGCTCTCTTCAATCTTATTATACTGTTGCAAAGGGTTGAGAATATTTCTGTGCATCTGTTAAAGGTGCTGTCAGTACTTTAGGTGGAGTAAATAATAAAGCTTATGAAGAATGAGTCATTGTGTGTTCCTGTTTTTATGCAACCTTTTGCTGGGATCATCTTGTGTCTTTTTACCTTAATTCTATTATTTGATATAGCTGTCATTATTAATTATCAAGTAGATTCATCCATTTAATTTTTGTTCCAATCTCTAATCAGTCTTGCTTGCAGTGTAATTCTGACTTGATGTCCTTATTTGTTTTGTGTAAGCCATGACCTAAACATTTATGCATACAATGAAAGAAAAATGAAAAATAAAATCCATAGTCTTTTGCCCCATGTTGAAAGGATACAGATTTTATTTAACAAATGTAAAAGATGCAGCCTGCTTAACTAAACCTTACAGTGCATTCTTATCTCCCGCAAATTGCTTTTATCTATTTAACAAATTTTGAAGTAGAAGGTTAGCTATAAAATTTTCTTTTAATTTATAATTGGGTTTGGCTTGTTTATTTTAAATCTTCTAGGAAATATGCTTCTATAATTCCCTGGAAATTTAAAATGAAAATGCCAGAAAGGAAAGCTGATGGGAGTCATAGCTGTTGGTAAGTTGTAAGCTTACTCATTATATCATGTAAAGTGATAACTGATTTCACTGTGAACTTGTCTGATATGTGTGACTGGCTTTTGATTCAAAAGCAGAATGTGTTTTTTCTTTAAGGAAAAGGAAATATAATGATTTAGTTAAACTGTTTGCCTGTAATGTTTGAATGAGTGCTGAAAACTCACTCAAAAATGCTGGATATTTAACAGAAGAATATATGTTTCAGATGAACCAATAGTTAATTTTCTCTGTGTCAGGATCAGGCATAAACCATTCTGTATTTGTACACAAACTTGAGTTAAATATATCCCCTTTTCATTGTATTCAGAGCTTTTTCCTCTTCTGCTTGGTGATGGTTTGGAACATGACTGTTAGTCCTGCAAATTACACAGACATCTTGATTAAATACTCTTTTTACCATCATCTTTGCTTAGCAACATCCCTTCTGAGATATTTTGGGAAACTTAATACTTGCCTTGTGTGTTAAACAGTGTTTGTAAATCAAGGAATGTTCCACATCCCTACTTGCTTGTGTTGTTTAATACTTTTTACATTACTCTTTTTGAGACAGAAACATGAAGCCTTACACATCCAGTCACTCCAACTTATTGCATGACACAACAGCAAGTGACCTGAGACCCAGTCTTTGGTATATAGCTTACCATGTTGGTGTAGATCATTAAAGTGAATGAATAGCATCTACGTGATTGTCATGGATCCAAGCAACAAGTAGTTTTCACATTCCAAAATAACCTGGAATTTAAACAAAATCATTAAGCTCTCCTATTTGCATTTTTCATTTCATTTAGTTGCTGAAAAACATGCTATCTCAGTCATATAGTCAAAATCTAAATGCAATACCCCTAAGCCTGCTTTGCCATAGACCGTGGGTATACTTCAGACCTTGTGTGTGTTTTGTGCTGGACAAAATTAACCTTTTGGACACCGAGCAGTTATTTTTGTATTTACCTTCTAGTGCTGCTGTTGAATCCCTTTCTAGGTTTTTGTTTTGAAAGTTGTGTTGGTTCTCTGTTTGAAGCGTGCATGGGGTGCTGCTTTCTCTGCGCAAGCTGGACAGTTCCCGTTCTGATCCACCTATATAATGTTGTGAAGCTGACCAGCGTTTTTCACAAGAGTCTCCCTCACCCTAAGGATCAAAGAGAACTAACATATGTTTTACTCAAACAATACAGGGTTTAACTCTTTCCAGAATTCATAACTTGATCTTCCAAGCTGATCAGTTGACATTACTTGTTTTCCTTTGTTGGCCAAACATATTAGAACTCTATGCTGTCCCTGACGGTTTCAGAAAATGTTCAGCTATCGACAGTGGTTTTAATTTATGCCCTGAGATTTGCATTCCCCTCACAGTTTCCTTCCTTTCTCTAATAGTGTTGGGCCTGCCCCATGCAAGCTTTTGTGGTATTGTTCAAATACTTTCTCTGCTGCAAACTCTGTTGTCCAATAGCTTTTTTGGGGTCTTTTTGATCAATTCAACTCTTCATCTCATTTCAAATTTCAGTGGAACAAAGCTTTGATTTCCATGCATTCTTTGTGGTTTTGCCCATGTGTTTCATTAGAATTGTTTACATATGGTTATATTAAAGTGCTCTTTGCGCAAGGCAAGCTGAGATGCATTTTGTATGAGGGATACTGTATAAAATGTAGGCTTATAGCATGTCAATGGTAAAACTGGGATCGACCTTGCTAGGAGTGGAACCAAAGTTAAGATTCTGTTGCAATGTCATGAAAGGGAGAAGTTTTGTGAAATCAAAGCTGAATTGCAAAATCTTGAGTTGTTTCTGTGAATGCTTGGAGTGAAGAAATAGTCTTTCAACTGTACAACTTCACACTTCTCCCCTAGGCTCCATAAGGTTGAGGAGAAGTAAAAATGTAGGTAACTATAGCTGTCTTGGTTTACTGGGGGAACTGAGAAGGAAGAGAAATGAATAGTCAAGTTTTCTCTAGGAAATGTACCTAGGAAATAAAATAATTTTGAGGTAATTCTATCAAAAAGTTTTCCAAGACTTTTAATATATTTATCAGCACATTAGTTCTTGAATTCTGTCATTATGCTCCTTTGTCAAATGTCACCAACAACATGAAGAACATAAGCAGGCAACTGAGATACCATGCACCAGTTAACATTTGAATGAATGCTGTTTAAAAATTCTTTGAGATCTGACCAATCTCCCTGATTTGTGGAGAGCCTGATCAGTAACTGAAAAGGCGTAGGTTGTTACCTGAGTGCTAAAAACAAGCTGACAAAAGGAGAGATCCTGATCCATAGCTGAAAATAGGCAGTAATCATCTGGAAAAGCTGTGATCTCGCCAGTTTCTGGCTTGCCTGGGCTGAACTTCCAGTTCGCACCTGTATGAGTTGAGTTGTGCTTGTTTTGCCATGAAAGGGAAATGTCATAAACTGCTGGTGTGTTGGACTGTAAGAAGTGGTATATTCAAGTATGTGCAAAGGATGTCTGGAGAATTACCTTTGTTAGCTATGGCAGCTTAGGATTTAGTTGATCTTGCAGTCCATTATCATGTGTTCATTTGTGTCCAGATACAGGTTCTTAGCTACAGTCATTTTTTAGTGAGGCCCCTTTGGGTCACCAGCAGAAAGAGATGTTTATGTCCTGTTTGTTCCATGGCTTTTGTAGACTGTGCTGGCTACTGTCTATTTCTTCCTGGCAACTAGTGATCATGAGCTGTTTTAGATGGTAGTATCCTTGTTCCTAACAGGCTTTCTGCTGCCCAGACTATGAATCAACAAAATAAATTTGTCTTATGTTTTATGAAGTGTCATACAGAATCATAAAATAATTGATTGAAAGAGAGCTCCAGAGTGCATATGGCCTAAGCTTACACTCTGTAGAGGTCAATATAGGTCTACAGCATGGTATGAAACATATAACACCCAGGTTTAGCTCATTAATGCATGGAAAGCTTTGATCTTTATTGGTGGTGTCCGCAGCAGCAGCATATGGCTCTGCTGGGCAAGTGATGTAGTGTCAATATACTCTGTCTATGTTTGTACAGTTCTTTATTAGTAAAAATCTCCCAGAAGGCAAGGGTGAAAGTTCAGCATCCAAAATTTTCCACTTCTGTAACAGCTTCCTGTTCTTAGACTGGGTGTTAAATGTGTTCTGATTGCTTACCTCCAGACTTCAGCCCAAAATGATAGCAACCTGTCTCCTGTTTAAAGAACCTAGAAGAAGAAAAGAACATACTGGTGTTTTACTGTATACTGCTATTTGCATATATCACTATGAGCAATGGCAATACAGAAACATTTATATTCCTTCCAGAAAAAGGTATTTATGGCAATTTCCCTCAGTCTGTTGTTAAAAAGAGAATTTTTTGTTGCAGTAGATTACACTGTTCCTTAGGTACTGCTTTCTCATTTTTAAGTTTTTGTTGTCAGGGCAAGTAAAATAACGACCACATAAGAAATGTCTTATGAGTGGGACCTTTTTACAGCTTCATCCTGCAAGTTGCTTGGGCACAGAGATGGTCAGGTACCCAATTCTTGCAGGCACTCTTCAGCCAGCACTGAGAAACCATGGCAATCTGACAGACAGTACTTTGCATGGAGCAGGTTTTTTTTCTTTGTAGCAATTGAGGACATGCAGCCTTTGTACGATCAGGATCTGAGAAATCAACCTACCCAGATGCTTAAAAATTAATTAAGGGGAGGGAGTGAGCAAAACCAGCTCCTAGTTCCGGCAGCTGTCAATGCCCATAAATCATCAGCTCTGTTTTTCCTTTTGAAGCAGGACAAGACCATGAATTTAATTAATGGGTTTGACTTGCTCTGGAAACACACAGTAGAGAAATCGCCCTACCCACACCTTTCACAGATGCTGTAAACATACAAATGTTATTGTGTATTTACTTATGAATGTTTTTCCAGCATCATTGTGCTAGATACAGTTGAATGCCTCAGGCAAGTGGCAAGCCAATGACTGCAACAAATCCTTGTTCTTTGGACACCCAGATCAGAGCCACAAGGAGCAGCAGGTTAGCTCCTGTTTGCTTGGTTTCACCCAAGTTCTGCTCAACAAAGTCATTAATAATGGCTGCTACAGAAAACTCTAGGGGAAAAAAAAGAGTACTTTTTCTTTGTTTTCTGTGCTCGAGGAATTTAATTATAATATGAAAAAAACCCTCAAGTAGATTTATCCTGCCACTCTTGTTTTTTTCTTTCCTTTTTTTTTTTTTTTTTTTTTAAAATAAGGAAACACAGAAATTGTCAGGCTGGATCAGTCCTCAGTTCAGCTCTGCAGTCAGCATCAGACACCTTAGGAGAAATTGTGCAAACACCCCTCGGGGAGTTTATTATGCAACTTTTACATCACATCAGACGTAGCTTAAGTCTATGAGTTTGAAGGCTTACAATCTCCTAAAAAAACTTCTTAAAACTTACATTTGATTTTGTAATGTTCACTGTTGTGATGCTGGATAGTGTTTGTTGTTTTCTATGGAAACCTCATTACACTCGTTTCCTTGGTAACAAATTTATAGATAGAAATTGCCCAGACTAGTTAAGCTGGAGGAAGAATGTTTGCTCTGTTCTGGACTAGTCTCTTTTTTTGATCTGACTGAATGTTTCCCAATATATTATATAACAAGATGGTTACTTTTTTCCCTTTAGTCTACGTTGCAGCATAGGATTTTGATGTCTAGACAGCTAGAGGAAGGACTTTGAAAAATGTACACTGAGAAGTGCAGCTTTTTCTATTTTTTAGAAGAGTTATTGAGAGCATTATTTGAGCTCTTCTATATGGATGGGTCTTTTTGATTAGCATGGATGTCTCTGAGGTGTGGAATTAAACTCTTAAATAAACTGGAAAACAGTGGTGTTTCATTCAAATACTGAAAAATAAGCTTGAAAATACTGAAAAAATGGTTGAATGTTGCTTTATAAGCCCTATGTTGCCTACAGGTGTGAGAGCATTCCAGAAACTTTAGGTGCAGAATAGCATCCACTCTCCTATGATTGAACCCTGTGATGTTGTACTAACAGTATCAGTTCTAGCTTTTTTGTTGCTTGGAGGGAGTTTTAGACAGGACCTATCTGTGGATTCAAGGAGAATTAGGCCTCTAAATTTCAGAATACCATTACCAGACCTCTGTTGAGTGCATTTATGAATATTTTTCTACAATTTAAAATTCAGAATGAGTGTTAAGAGTGCAAGTCACTGCACATTTTAATCAGGCAAAATCCTCAGACCTTTCTTCCTTTCCCTGTCATGCTTATATCCTGACAGGGTCCATGATCCTTGTTTTTTAAACACTTGTGCCAAAACAAAAGCATCCAAAACAAATTTCAGTCAAAAAATGCTTCTGTTTCTCTAAGATTAAATATTTAAACACACTTATAGCTGTACTGGCCAGACACTGACACTGGTAATTTTGGGAAATGTTCACAAAGAATGCCAGACACAGGGTGACTGGTGTGCTAGGTCTTTGTTTGTTTTAAGAGAACATTTTTTCATTTAACTGTAGAATAAATATTTTAGCATTCTCATCTATAGTTAACAGCTTTAATCAAAAGACTTTAATTTCTTAAATTATTATTAAAACTGTACCTGGCAGCATTTTATCATGTAAAAAATCTTCATTAGCTGATTGCACAACTTCATGTAAAGGTTGGGTTGTATGCCCTGGATTCTTACGTAGGGGTGGCTGGAAGAGTAAATCATCATCCCCAGTTGTTGGCCTCATTATTGCATAAGGCCATTTTGAGTGTAGGGAAGGTGAAAGAGGCTGCATTTCTTCTACTCCTTTTCACCAGGGTTCACAGCACAAATTAATGTGAACTGAAGGCAGTTTAGCCTTCAATGCTGTGTGTTCTACCATGTCCTCTCCATGGTAGGGGGCCTTCCTTCAAGGGGAAGAAACTTGAGTGGTCCTTAAGCTTGGTAGAAGCTGGACTGTGAATCACTTGTACTTGAATGTTAGACTTAGGTCTGTGTCATTTTACTGCTTGATTGCTGAAGAATCTGACAAATTAAAGGCAGGTCATTATCTGCGAGTCTTGCCCTGCTTTTAGAGCTGTTCAGCCTGTCTCTGTGTTGTGTCCATGGAGCTCCATGGGGATTCGCTGGGGGAAGGCTTGTTTTCAGCCTTTTTATGTTGTACTGGAGAACTCTGAGGCTCAGTGCCTGGCTGCAATGCTGTGGTGTCACCTAATGGTAGGAGGTGATTTACAGCTGGGCAGAGTCATGAACGTGCTGTAAGCCTGACTTCACACTGTTTCCCTGATGCTCGGCCCCCTGCAGCCCCTCTGCAGACCTGTCGTGGATCTTTCCTTTGCTTGCGCTTACCAGGGAGCTTGTGTTGTCTATATTCTTAAAACAAGTCATGTATTTAATGGTGGATGGGAAGGGGAGATGTGTATGCTGTGGATGTATGTCTTCATTCTTCTCTACCTCTTTTCATTAAAACTATCTGGTGTGGCCTACACTACCTGATGTAAATGTATCCATGTAATTAGCTAGTCTTGACAACTTTTATTTTGGTTGCAAATATCTTGAATAGGACCTGACTCTGAAAGCAATATTCCCAGTTGCCCAGTCATCTCCCAGTGTGACTGTTTTCAGGCAGTGGTGACAAAAGCAGCATCTAATTTAGCTACAAAAATTGTGAAGGCTTTTGGAGAATGTAATGTGTTGTCATAAGCTTATAAACTTTTCTGTTGGCAAAGAGCCATGAGGAGCCACCTGTAGAATGGGATTTCCCACCATTCATGTTTTTGAGGATACGGAAATGAATGATGTTAAATCATGGACTATAATTTAGACAGTGAGAAGATTGCAGACTGATTCTGTAAGTAGAAAAATCCCTTGAGGAAACACATTACATCTATAATCCTGTCAATCAGAAGATTAGTGATTCAGTCTAAAATTTATATAAATGACCTAATAGTAAAGATTGTGCTAAGGCAATCCCAAGTACAAATACAGGCTGGGTGGTGAGTGGATTGAGGGCAGCCCTGAGGAGGAAGACTTGGGGATATTGGTGGATGGAAGACAGACTATGAGCCAGCAATGTGCATCTGCAGGCCAGAAAGCCAAATGTATCCTGGGCTGCATCAAGAGGAGTGTGGCCAGTAGGTTGAAGGAGCTGATTCTGCCCATCTGCTCTTCTCTCGTGAGACCCCACCTGGAATACTGTGTCCAGGTGTGGGACCCCCAACTTAAGGACATGGACCTGCTCAAGTTGGTCCAGAGGAGGCCATGAAGATGTTTAGGGGGGTGGAATACCTCCCTTATGAGAATAGGCTGAGAGAGTTGGGGTTGTTCAGCCTGGAGAAGAGAAGGCTCCAGAGAGACCTTATAGCAGCCTTACAGTACTTAAAGGGGGCTACAGGAAAGATGGGGAGGAATATTTTCCAAGGCCATGTAGTGATAGGACAAGGGGTAATGGTTTTAAACTGAGAGTAGATTAGGTTAGATATAAGGAAGAAATTATTTACTGTGAGGGTGGTGAGACACTGGCACAGGTTGCCCAGAGAATCTGTGGCTGCCCCCTCCCTGGCAGTGTTCAAGGCCAGGTTGGACGGGGCTTTGAGCAACCTGGTCTAATAGAAGGTGTCCCTGCCCATGGCAGGGGGAGTGGAACTAGATGATCTTTAAGGTCCCTTCCAACCCAAAGTATTCTATTATTCTATGATAACATATGCAGCCTTTACATCCCAATGTCAGAGTGGGACTTGTCCATTATAATTTGTAATTTTGTGAATATTACACTGACACAATTAAAGAATGCATCACTGTGGAAAAGAGGTGCTTCAGATGACATTTTGAATATTCAGTGCTAACAAAGAGAAGTTTGTGAGCATATTTTCTCCGTCACTTCTGTTATATATCTGTATATATGTGCATATATGTTTATTTATTCCTGCTTGCCGTGGTTAGTGTGTCAAAAGCCCTACACTACCAAAGTCAGTTTTTAATAGTGTACATTCTTCTATTTAGAAAGATAAATGAGTCACAGTGGCTTCTACTTCTTTCTCCTGAAAAATTAGTTTTTGTTGAGAGGGTGGAGACAGATTTCCTCTTGCTCAGGAGGTGCAATACTGAGCTAACAAATGGATGGACCCTTATTTTATAGTTGGTATACATTTATGTAGCTCATCTTACATCAGTAATCAATGTAACCAATATATGCTCAAAATGACATATATTTGTTTTGCAATTTGTT